AGTGCTGGATTTATTCCCCAATTCATCAGCTCCCGCCTTCAATGCGCACCTCCCTACCCCCCCCCCCGCATCATCGGTGAACGAAACTGCGGCAGCTACAACCACTGTACGACGCGTACGTGGTTATTACAGCTGGCAATCATGATGATGACTAGGATGCACATTACGCCATTACTGCTGCACTGGAATTGGCTGGACTCAGCCTGTGGAGGTTGGTGTGATAGGGAATGGTCTGCAGTAAAGGCACGTTTCAGATTCTTCATTTAGGTCACATTGCAAATGCCACAGCTGTTGATCGTGATGTATATTGGCAAGACATGAGGAACTGGTGCGTTAGGTTGCCACTTCTTTCAGCAGTTCACACTTGATACACCAGCTGTGCAAGATTTAGCCCTCCAACTGTCCATGAGGTGTGAATCACAAGAACTGTCTGTATTTACCGCCCATCAGCTGCAGTCGCGTGACACACGACTTGCAGAGTGAATTTCTCAAAGCAAGTGGGATTTAGGAGACCATTAAAGCCGCTCAAATGTGTGATCGCACATACCACTAACCTGTTGGTACCCGGGTTATTGTCCGGGTTTGAACCGTGCCGTCCAGTACGTCCGACACCTGTAGTTATGGGTTTCAATTATCTGAACATTCTCACTAGCACTAAGGTCTTCCTTCTTCCGTAAAGCGGAACAATAGTTAATGAGGCCGGTGAGAATGGCCAATCAGTTCGGACTACGTTGATTCGTTTGAAATTTTGCCCAACGCGAGTCCTGACCATCATCAGATCCAAGTGAATTTCGGCCTAGGTAGGGAAACTCCATAGATACCTCTCTACTATTGAGTTTTCTGGTATCTGTGAGAGCCTTGATGTTGACCGTCGTGCTTGAACAGCTTCGAATCGAGACGCCGGCTCATCTTCACGCAACAGTTAACTTAACTAAAATAAAAAATCGGAATGACGAGTCCATTTCTCATCGTTCCGGCCGTCACATTGATGTTAGGGCCCTAATATTGAAGCTTTTTCCACAGACAGTCTTCTTGCAGCAGTTCTCGAAATTGGTCCTCTTTTGGGGAAAGTTTTCATTGATCCGCAAGCCGTTGTCGAGGGGTAGGGGGGGCAATATAAGCATGCGGTAAGCGCACAGAAGTAATGCCCTGTCTAGCCTAATGAGGCAAACTAAGCGACTGAACTAGCATGGACCACCAAAACAAGTGCCTAGTTCGTGAGAAAGCCTGTTCCTCATCCAATGATCACCCTCTTCTTGCGTCCCCCAAGTGCTTGAATGCATGCGCGTCTGGCAGTGTCTCTAACCATTGATGTGGCCCGTCTCGGGGTCCCCATCCAGGAAGACGGCAGTGACCTGCGCAGCTGAATTTACTGCTGCCTTCCTTTATACTTCGCCGCCAAGTCATTGTTTGACCGCCTGTCGCTCTTTTCGATCTTTCGCCTGCAAGTTGGTCGACTGGCATACGCAGCACGTGGTCAAGCCAGCGCAAGCTATGTAGTGTGATCAGTTGAGCTATCGAGGGTGAGTTATTAATCCCGAATACTTCAGCATGGCTGACCCGGTGTTCCCACCAGTTTTGGGCAATGCTCCAAAGACATCGATGGTCAAACACTGAAGGCCTTTTGACGTCCTCGGCGCGCAGCGGTCAGGTTTTTGATCCATATAGTAATATGGAGCGCACCGCAGCATTGTAAAGCCGCACATGGTCCATTCACTTGATACTAGTCATCAGGAACGAACAACCCCGGGTATTTGGCGAATACTTCACCTCCCACAAACGCCAAGCTCGTGTTCCGCATCATTCACGATGTCCAGATTACTGGAAACCCGCCAATTTTTTTCTGCCCTTCTTCACTTTATAAAACGTAAATCGAATAACTGGTTTTTGCACACTTTTTTGGAAAGAATAACTATGTTTTCCACCCGTCACAGTATCTCCAAAACGAAGGTCCCACTCAGTGGGAACAAAATGCCTCGGCCATCTTTGAAGCCGCGAACGCGATTAAACTCAATCCGAAGAAAATGAAAAAGTACGTTTATGATCTGTGATAGCGCTTACTCACCCTTTTAAGTAACTTGGAATTTCTTGCATAGCAAGAATTTCCCGCTGCTAGGTCACCTTTTTATTCCCGAGACAGGGAAAGCAGTTCTGGCGAAGTTCTCGCCTATCTTAGCGAAATACACTCATTTGCAAACTAATTCGGTTTTCGATAGACTCACCTGAAACACAGCTGAATCTCTCGTTTATAATGTTTTCAAGCAACTGAGTGTGTTGCACCAGGCCGCCTCATGTTTCAGGTGGTACGACATCCCAAATATCGCGATACATGTATAGACGTAATACACTAGTCATGAAGATTTTCAGCAACATTACGAGTAGTATAGTACGTACTCACCTATCTCTTACAACATCCGATCCACGCACCGCCCAGTTGAATTCAACAGGTACAGTGTGTGGTGAAAGACAGCTTTTTGCATGTGCTCACAACTATTCTGTCGTAATACCGCTCCGGTGCCTAGCTGCCATGCAACCGGAAGGAAGCACGAGGGCTGGGATACTGCCAGGTTGCCCAAGCCTAGGCAGAGAAAGTCGAGAAGCAGAGGTCGGGTTCGAACCACCGGTCTTCCGGTCACTAAACTCGTGCTCTAACCACTTGGGACCCAAGTGGTTAGGCAATGGACCTCTTGTCATACTGGGTCTCAGTTCACCTAATGAGCTAAAGTTACTCTTTCTGTGATTTTCGTAATTTATTTAGTGAAACATACCGGTCGATTGGCACTTGAAAGAATCTCGTTTTGGGTACTACAGGTGTCGGTTGTATCGACTTTATTGTCTGCCGTAGTCGTTGCTGGGTATGAGATCACATCAAACTCATTGACCGCCCTGGTTAAGGATTCACTGCTCCATAATGCATTCTACAGTTGCCACAGCGTGTACAGTGGGCCCGAGAAGCCTGAGTGTCAACAAAACAAATCGACTGGGTTTTCCGCTTCGATCTTTTCGCAGTCAGGTGTGTCTACCTTGCTACCCTTTGTGGAAATGTGAAGCGTGGGGCGCGATCCGTACTGGTCGGAGACCTGGTCACCACGAACAGTGAACGATCAACAAGCGTTCAGTGGTCTTTGAGTCATTGTTCGATTCTATTTCGAAAATCAGTGTTGACTGGCTTCCAGAAGAAAGCATTTCACCCAATAAGCGTGCTTTAACTGGTTGTAAACCGAATTCCCGGAAGTTCACTTATCGCTCACTTACAGGATGGAAGCGCTCTATGGAAGTACATTCAATTGATTGGTCAAAAGATCGGGCCGGTTGCCAGTCCAGCATTAATGCGTGCCCTGATGGATCGAATCAGTGGATCCCATATCCTCTGAGTTACGGTCACAAATGCTGCGTCCAGAAGGCATGCGAATTTCCAGAATGTTGTCGCGCGCTGCACAAGGATTTTTGCCCGTCTTGGGAGTTGATACACGGTGTGTACCCCTTGGTGGTTCTTCTCCTGAAAATGCTTGGGAAGATCGGACGGAAAACTGAACTGAGGTAGCACCGTTATCACATTACATTACTACCCGTTCCCTTTTCACACGAAACATTTCCGTCACTTGTGGATCTCTACCTATGGTGATTAGTGTCTAGCTCCGTCCACATTGTCGTTGAATGAAACTGCGGCAGCTGCAACCCACCCCCTTCCATACAACCTACACATTGTGTAAAAACCAAATTGATTTGCAAATGAGTGTATTTCTCCAAAACAGTTCAATTTGGTTCAAGTAGAACATAAGTTTGATGGAAACTCGGGGACTGCGCCTACTTGGTGAGACCCAAGAAGGGCGAAACCGGTCGTAGGCTGTCGGAGGGTTTCCAGCAACTTTGTGAGTAGTTTCCTTTATGAACCAGAACTAATTGCTGGTTCGAATTGGTTTCAACACGGCCCTTGGTGTTGTCACAAGCATTGCTTCGACTTCAATCGGATACCTTCAGGGCACAACCTCTGCAGCCAGTTGTTCGTGTCGTCATTACCATGATCCACTTGTGAGGCATCTCTTTGAAGTGTTTTATGGATCTCTCCACGGACTGGAGTATGTTGTACGTTTCTACGTATATGAAGTGAATAAATGTGCCTAGACTTTGCAGATCATTTGCCAGCTATTGCGTTTTGACAGGGATGTTTCTCCGTGGGAATCGGTTTCGAAATAACGTGCATTCTAAAGTTCGAAGTTCACCATAATTGATGATGGTACTGATTTTTGGACAGTCCTTTTCAAAACCGCATAATCCTGTTGCTAAAAGGAGGAGGTACATGGTACCACCCTAGCCCAGACATCTTAGAATGTCACTTCCCTAACAACGCGCTTGGAAACTCGCGAAAACCCAGAAGAATGGCCATCCCAGAGGACAGGTTGCAGTTTGGAAAGTGGGATGTTCATGCAAACGAATTAACGACTTTTCCGTCAGGTTGAATCGAAGGTGAATGAGGGGCGAGGATGGAACAGTTTTCGAAAAAGAGTAGAATGCTTCGAAATGGTGCAGATTGATGAAAAGCCCAGTCATGATTGGGGCGTGTTTTGGATGAGACAGGATGAATATCATGCGAATCGATTACGGTGCCTTCAGCGGTGAAACGGATTGTCATGTGTCATGTTGATGAAAATTGTCAACTTGTTAATTGTCGGGGCTAGATTGGAACACAATTTCGTGACATGGTTGACGAATGTCCACTCCTTTATTTCAATGATCAAGCATAACATTCGACGGACAGATGATGTGAGGCCTCTTCAGGTTTTCGACCACCGATGCCTCAGAAGCGTGGCTGGTTGTGGATAGCGTCAGCGTGTTAGTTACGAGGTGACTAGAAAACGGGTATTCGGTTATGCTGCAGGCACCTCGATCCGAGAAGACATCCAGCATCATCGACTACGATAGCTCGGACATGTGTTACGCATGCCGAAACACCGTCTGCTGATACGAGTGTTGTTCTCCGCGCCTCCTTCAGGTTGGCGTAAACCGCGAGGTGGACAGCACATGACTTGCCAGAAAGGTGTGAAAGAGATCACGAACAGTTTGGGTGTTGTTGGTGTTGTACGCCTTCCAGGATGGGGTCCCCGTGACCCCATCTGTGCTTGGCTGGAGTCGTTTCAAGAAATGGCGGCTAATCGATGTCAGTGGCGTTCGTGCTGTCAGTTTCTTTCCAGATTGTCTGATTGAGCGGTTGGATGTGTAGGCACCTCAGTATGCTTGACATAGGCCAGCACTAGGTCCCCCCTCCCTCACTCTTTTTTTCACCCTAGGGCTTTTAATATAATTATATATATATATAACTAGACGAACCTCATGACAGTGAAGCATCAGTGGTAACACTGATGTTGCTGTCTTCGGTGATGATGATAACATTCGACTGAAGTGAAAAAGTGGGAGAATCTGGATAGGAAGAAAACTCGACTGATTGTTTTGATGATTCAAAAGTGCCCACTTCTTGGTGCGTTTCCAAATGGTTGATTCGTATTTCGACTGACGAGCATATTCTTGACCTTTTCGAAGTTATTACCTGGTAATGAAACTTCCATTACTCCGATTTGATTGACAAGCTTTCTCGTCTTGTCAGTGAGATCAGCAGATATCCGTGGTATTTCACGTATGCACTCTCTATGTAAACTCGGTTATTGATCGGTTTTGATGGAATATGCCTTCCGACTATAACTGCGCACTTGTGTGTTTTTCCCACCCGACGTTACACTACATCGCTTGCTGAGTGTGGCGAATGTGTCTCTTTTCTTCTCGTGAACTGTGATCCAATGAGTTACCCTGCATCCAGCAACCTTTTATTCTGCCCCAAGCAATATCTTACGGCACAGACCTCCTGGTTGTGTCGAATTCGGGTTTCCACTACCTCAATGTGGATTTCACTTCGATCTACTTTTTACTCGAATACGTGGATCCGTCTTCTCTTCACTCTGTTGATATTAAGCGGGGAAGAGATGGTTCAGTGGTTAGAGCACGAATTCATTGACCGGAAGGTCCGTAGTTCGAACCCAACATCCTCTCTAGGCTTGGGTAAACTGGCAGTATCCCAGCCCCCGTGCTTCTTTGGACTGGGCAGCTGGGCACCGAAAGCGTGTTACAACTGAGCGGTTGTTTCTTTTTTCCGGCCTTGTTTGACCTTTGCTTCATAGTCCATCATATGCTATCAGCTACTATATTCATCTGTCTTCTGCACTGTTCCTCAGACTAGAGAAGGAATACTTGCAAATGCGCAGTCAAGAACGGGAGGATCAAATCGAACTTCGGGTAAGTGCTGACGCTTGTCACTTTCTGTTTGTTGCACGTAGCCCTGTTGCATCCTCTGTGCTGAGGTGTTCGCTTTGTTGCGCGTTGGATCGAACAGAACTTTACCGAAAACGTGAATACCACTCATAAATCAACATCTTGATCACTTCAATTCGCGCCTCATTTAGCTGTAATGCCCTTTCCGTTCGTAGCACAACCATTTCCAGGCTGGAGCAATCTGCCAGTACCCCATCCATCGTGCTTCGTACGGGTAGCGTGGCAACTGGACACTGAAAGGGTATTGTAACTGAACGGTTTAACTATTTGTAATGCACTACTCATAAGGTTGCTGAAAATCCGTCGACAGCCCAAGACCGGTCTCGCCCTTTTTGAGGCTCATCAGGTAGACGCAGTCCCCGAGTTTCCGCCAACCTTATGTTCTACTTGAAACCAAATTGCACGAAATTAGCGCATATGAACTCATTTGCAAACTGATTTGGTTTTGCTATTTCTTTGTCTCTAATCGATACATATTGAGCACTCATTTGACATAGTACACTATGTACTAGCTCCCTATCCTAGCATGTGCCATTTACTGGTTTAGAGGAATGATGTATTACTATTGTTGGATTCTGGAATGGGGTAAACACGACGTTGTAGGTCAGAGTAGATTTTTTGGCGCACCCGTGATTTACCGCCTCATCGTCAAGGTCAGTGTAGAGTGCCGCGTCTGACAGATTTAAATGTGACCTGCATTGGAAGTAGGATAGTGGAAATGTGACTTTGATACAAGCAACAATCATTAGAGAATCGGCTGTTTTAGGTTGCATTTTGTAATTTGCGGACTCCTGTCACTAGTTGATGCTGTTCCCGAGTTACAGCATTGTTGGTGTCCAAATCCTTTTAAATCTTGGGGAAGATTTTGATGCGTTCGTCTCGGTATACAGAAACGGGACGCACACAGCACGTAAGCGCTAGCCATCCAGTTCTTCGAATAGCCAAGAGCCCAGCTTTGAAGTAACAGACATAACATATGGCAGTGAAGCATCAGTGTTCTAATCCCGTCAGTGGTGGTGAACTTCCGGTGATGGTGGCGGACACCTAAAGCGAGCGTGTTCCCAAGAAGAGGCAAGAATAACCATTCCTTTGAGGTAGTTGTTCATCATATTCAGGGGAACAATTGCTATGATGAACAGAAATATCAAAACCCGGGTGATAGTCTCACGAGTTGGACATACACTGCACTGGAACACATGTGATCGATATGGCTCAGTTGTCAGGGGGGGGCTGGATCTACTCACCAGTAGGACCGTCGTTCGAACCCGACCTCTGCATCTGAACTCACCCTGTCTAGGCTTGGGCAACCTGGCAGTATCCCTGCCCTCGTGCCCCGTTCGGTCGGCATGGCAGCTAGGCACCGAAAGGGTGTTACAGCTAAACGGACAATTGAGTGGGATACCAACATGGTCGGATGACCGGACCGTTATTTTCATAATGGTAGTGTCTTTCGAAGGACACCGGTTGTTTACAATGGAGACTGTTGAGGAGTGGTTCGGTTCATCGTGCACGAAATCATACAATGGGACAAAAATTGCTCGGTCCATACTCAAGTTCCCGGACGGTGACGAACCAGTACATATTTGGATTTAGCTCATCCTGTCACAGATGCAGCTCTTTGTAAAATGATCTGTTGAACTGGAATTCCAGATTGCTGGGAACATAGAACCTCCGTATCACTCATTCATACATCCATATCAGACAGGACCTGTAACTGTTCTTTGCGTCAGTGGAAGAACAACAAGATTGGCTCAGTACTGGATAGATAGCCAACCGGTGCGGTCTAAGCAATNTTCCCTACACTAGGCGAAATGGCCCAAGTGGTTAGAGCGCAGATTTGCTGATCGGAAGGTCCGTGGTTCGAATCCGACCTCTGCCTTTCCACTTCCCCTGTCTAGGCTAGGGCAACCTGGCAGTATCCCAGCCCCCGTGCAACCTTCGGGTGGCATGGCACTTGGGCACCGGAAGGGTGCTACAGCTAAATGGTCAGGATAAGAAGACGTGTATACAGTTACCGGAAATAACTTACGATCCAGTTGATGGGATCGAACCGGAACGGGTCACCAAATAGTACTGTGTGCATTCACTAGCATCACCATCCTTAGAATCCAGCCCAATACCCATGTTTAAAACCGCTGCTCGCTGGCCTATTCAACGGATATGAAGCTGCGAGCTTCAATAGAAAGGGAAGCTTGTTACACTTCCTCATTTGAGTGGACGAGCCGATGTTTTGTCCGTGCAGCCCATCCATTTCTTTCGATGTCTGCACTGACATGCTGCGTCCCGTACCTACATTCCATTTGAACGACCGTTTTCCTGTCATACAGGGTCCGGGTATCGATTCCTCCATTCTCATGCCTTCCAATACCACCCTTTGTTTATCCAATCTTTTCTGCATTCAACTGATCACGTGGTTCGTATTTTTTTCAGCGGTTACGCACGGAGAACGGACTTTTGCTTCAACGGATAGCCCGTTTGGAAGAGGTAATTTCGACTTTCTGTTTGCATTCGCTCTCCATTTGACAGTTGTACACACAGGTGCCTCCCAGACCCACATCTTTGCGAAGTTGAGTTCATCGCTCGTGCGAATGCTATCTTTGTGCAAACATGTCATGATCAGACCAGTGTGTGAGTTTGAGACTCACGATTCAATAAAAAACCATATCAAGTAGAGTTAGATTGACACCGTTTACCTTCCATATCCGTGTCCTGTAAGCCTGGTCAAAGTCAGTAAGAATCGAAGTTGTACCATCCAAATGACTTTACCTGGGCTTGGATTGAGTCTCCGGCTTTTCCCTGTGCAGTGAAGAGATACTTCCTAATAGAGTCTTGGCTCATGCTTCGCGCCTTTCCGGTTGGGGTTCACGTCATCCTCTTCCGGAAAGTCTGCAAGACCTGGCTGGCATCTAACTCATCCCAGTAGGCGGTCTACTGCCATTTCTTGGTCAAACTACCGTGCCAACGACTGTGTGTGTGGTAATGTTTGAACTCCTTGGCCTTGATGGTTTCCCTCCCCAGTCTTTTCCTTTCTTTTCACACCTTTCGAGCCCGACCTCTGCCTCTCGACTTCTCCTGTCTAGGCTTGGGCAACCTGGCAGTATCCCAGCCGTCGTGCTCCCTTCGCGTGGCATGGCAGCTAGGCACCGAACGGGTGTTACAGCTGACTTGTTATCTTGGAGTGGGTACACACTGATGATATTGTGTGACTAGCCGCGATCTTAACCCTTCGTAAGTGCATGCAGTGGGTAGAATCGATAGGCTACTATGGTAATCGTAGGAGCGTTCCCGAGTAGAATTAAAGAAACTTGACTGAACCTGAAACAGATGGACGTAAATCTCCCCCTAAATTGCCGTCATCTAATCATCAACACTCGGGTGTGAACAAATGCTCATTTCAAAAAGTTCGAATCATCGGAGTTGTTGTGTAGATCCGTGATGGTTTAACATCGTGACCAGAAGCCCGTGCGTCTGGTTAACTGAATTACCAACTGACTGGCTTATATAAGGCTGTCATTCTAGGCGGTAAAACGCTCCAATTACGTGGCCGCTCGGTGCCTGTCAGTATTCGAATGGAATCCGTGGACTTTAGGTGCTGAGGCTCGTGTGTTGCGTTTGGGCCTCCTCATCACTGTCCACCTGATTTGTTCAGTCAGAAACGTTTCGATAAGACAACCAAGTACAAACTATTAGCTCCGTTGACGTAAACATGCATTGCTCGTGGACCATCCAGTAATCCAGTTATACATCATCTATTTTTTCATTACTTCTGTGTCAGACAAGGCGGTTTCATAACCGCTGAATAGTTCAGCTTTCGATAGATACCTTCCATTCGGATTAACTCAAAGTATCTCAGTAGGTAACCATCCGGGGACGGTTGTCTACGAACCAGCACTCCGTTCTAAGTACCGCCCCCCCTTCCAGGTGTACCTAACGATGTCTCGTTTTTACTCGCTTCATTTGGACGAAATCAAGATAAGGTTGCACCTGTCAGTGGTTGTAATACAGAACACTCAATGTGAACTGCACGGCAGGTCCTTGCACATCCAAACTGTTCTCATCAAAGTTCAACGTTCGTCTGTCTGTGCAGAATCGATGCAGTTAGGCTGAAATGCAGCATCACGCATATATATATATATGGAACATATTTCAGACGAAATTGCAATAGAATACGCCGATCACGTTCAATTATGTTCAATCAATAGTTAAACTCTCTATAATCTAGGAGAACACGATCGATTTGTGTAGTTTTCTACTTCCAACAGTGTTCCTCATTACCGTTTGGATGCAGGTTTTTCGAGGAACGGTCTTGCTCTGTGGTCCTTGTTAGAGTCCGTCTAGCCGGCACCGAAGTTCATGATCACGTGACCGATCGACTGTTTACCTTTTTGTACTACACTGCTCTGTCTTGTTCGGTGGTATTCATGCACCTCTAGTGTATTCAATTCAGCCGGAGTCGAACATTCCATCACGCACCCAGAAAGCGGTTCAAAATAACATCTAGATATGACCAGAAATTCAAGACCGCGGCGCAAAAAAAGGCGTGTGATGCGTATCTCTTGCTGATCCTCTCTCCAACAAGGAAAGACCTTTGTCTCCGTATCGTTTTTATCTCCCCTTCTCGAAAGTTACTTTCTATACAGGAGAGGTGTCAGAGCACATGCTAGTTCGATAATGTGTGATTCGTCTTCCTGCTGCAGGAATGTGCATCTGTGGCAGACCGTCTAGTGCAGTCCCAATTGATTCGTGCGCAAGAATCGGAGGCGTTGCTCGCACTGCGATGTGAATTGTCCATACTACGGCGAACTCATATGAAACCAACTGCCGGCACACCTGCTTCCGTGGGCCAGAATGGAGAAACTTCTGAGGAGAACTGTGATTCCGGTGATGAGAAGACCGAATTTCGGGATCAGTCAACGGATTCGCACAACAGTGAACCTCATTCCGTCTCACTCACAGAATTGACGGGTGATTTCGGAGTGCTGAGGATAAACGGAACCTCTGAACCCGTTGAGGTAAGCGGATGGTTTTTTTTGGTAGTCAACTTTTGTTTTTCTTATTAAATAAGCCCTACTACCGATTCCTTCATTCTCTTAGAGGCTTAGGGCCATATTGTGAGTGAGCGACCGATTTCCGCTTGATATTCTCATTTTGGGCGTTTCACACGAGTGTTGTTCTTTCACATTGTGGCGGGTTTCTGTTATTGCAGTGAACGCATCGGCCTGTGAACATGGTTGATCCCAAAGTTTCTACACTAGCCTGTCATCTTTTCCAGGCTGTTGTTTGAATTCGGTTCACTGTCACACCCATCCCTCTCACTTCCAACATGAATGCTTTTGGTTCAGCGCTGAACGATCCTTTATTACTGATTAAAGGTCAAGTCTACGTGTAGCGGCACAACTCTCTCCAATAGGGATAGGCCTAACAAAGAAGCAAAACGTATCATTTTTTCGAGAAATACACTCATTCGCAAATCAATTTGGTTTTCACAAGAGACTCAACTGAATCTCTCATTTATGATGTTCTACAACTGAATGTGCTGCACACAGGTCGTCCCATGTTTCAGTTGGCACGACATTCCAGATATCACAGTATATTTTCCTAAAGCAAACTACTCACCAGGTTGCTGAAGACTCTTCGACAGCCCACGACCGGTTTCGTCCTTCTTGGGGCTCAACGGGTTGGCGCAGTCCCCGAGTTTCCGTTTTCAGTTTTCAGCAACCTTGTGAGTAGTTTCCTTTATGAAAACGTATCCTTACTTTTATGTCGATCAAGGTGAGTTGTTCTCAGTAGGATAACTGGAATGTCTGTCCACAGCTCCAGACCGACCAGCTGAGATGCTTACTCACAGCACACTTATTGCCCTTTCCAATTAACTGCCTAAATGCCTCAAGAGAGAGAACACAAACACTGACTGTGGTGTGAGGTGTGCGAGCAGCCGTTCGTCTGCCGCAATGGCGTCATCCGCTGCTATCACACTCCTACCTGGAACCACAGGAAAGTCATCTGGTCTTCCAGCATTCGGCTATGACACCCTTTCAGTACATAGCGGGGGCGAGATGGCCTAAGTGATCAGAGTGCGAATTTACTGACCAAAAGGTCCGTGGTTCGAACCCGACCTCTGCCACTCGACTTCCCCTGTCTAGGCCTGGGCGACCTGGCAGTATCCCAGCACTCGTGCTTCCTCCGGGTGGCATGGCAGCTAGGCACCGGAAGGGTGTTACATTTGAACGGTTATATTACTAGTTATTATTCAGTACATAGCTGTCATGCCAACCAAAGGAGGGGCTCCGATACTACCAGGTCCCCCAAGCCTAAACAGGGGCACTTGTGGTTCCGCAGTGGTTGGTTTCAAATTACGGACCTTTCGGTTAGTAAGTCCGCGCCTTAAGCATTGAAGTACCTCAAGCTCACCTGTCCAAATGACCTATGAGTAAGTCTTCCGTTACTCGCGCCAACTTACTGATCGGAAGGTCTGTGGTTCGAACCCAAGCTCTGTATCTCTGCCACTGCTGTCGGGACTTGGGCAACCTGACGTTATCTCAGCCCTTATGCTTCCTTATGGTGACGCGGCAGCTGGACGCCTAAAGGGTGTTATAGCTGAACGATTACTATCTAGTTATCCTCTTCTGTGACTAACACTTTCCCGATTCGTACGTCATATGAGCAAAGTGATGGCCTCTGACGCTAAACATCTGAGTCTGTTGAACGACATTGTTCTTACCTAAGGTGCACCAACCTGCGCACGTGTCAGTCACGTTTTTATTTCTACCGCACCACGTCGTTGGTTTCACCTGTGGGTTTTGTATTACAGATAACCGGTTTGTATCTGATGATATGTCTTGTCGTGACGCGTTGCTATTGGCAGTCGTTGCTAAGCAATGCTTTTCCAACGGACCAATGGTAGTCTGCGTTTCAACGCGTGTCAATTCTTCTGCTCTCAGTTTTCAGTTAAATTGTCTTGATCCTCACGACTCTGTCGTTCTTGGCTCCCCATGAGCACACCACTGATCGATACGGTATGCCCTTTGAGCACCGTTTAATTATACAGTTCACTTCCGGTATGTCAAATCTTGCCTACTATTTTGTCCAAACGTCTGTCGTGACAGTCCCAAGAAGCGGGAGTGCGTTCTGTACCGACACGCTTTTCGCCGTCATCGAAACAACGGAGCATACATACTTCACTCAGTCTTTATTGTCTCGTGTCTGTAAGCTTTCAGGGTGGAACTTTCCAAGCCACTATCATCCTGCTTTCATTTTGTTGATGATTCGAGCCAATCGGCATTTGATCGAACCGGCCGTTGGTCAGAGACCGACCAGAACAATCGCGTACTAATTCATCACCTTGGTGTTGCTCTTCGCAAACTAACTCATGTTATTAACGTAACTGTCAAGCAGACATGCTCACACAAGCTCGTCCTGTTTCACGGTATGCTCAAATAACTTTTCGCTAACACCTACCCAACCAGACTTTCACGGACTTTGTTAATCCGCTTGTCTTGTTTCTGTGTTTTTTTCACGCCCTCTACACCTAACCACTTCGTGTGATGTTCCATGTCCCCTGTACACGGCGCCATTTTACAGACAGTTGCCTCCTTCGTCAATGGTCCTTGTTCACCTACTGAGCGTGGCTCACGCGAGCCCTCTGTTGCCGAGCTTGAGGTGCGCGACCAACACCCTACCTATCCATGTTTGCCGCCGTCACTGAGTAGCCAAGCCACGGGCACAGTCAACCCACCCGAAGTCGTCAGCTATTCTCAAGCAAGACATGCGATGCTCCCTCGGCAGGCGATCGGTTTCACACCCAAAGGTGGTGACACGCTTGCCGTAACCACGCTGCACACTCTCCAATCCGATCTCACATTGTGTCGAGCTCGTGAAGCCGACGCCAAATCCGCTCTTTCAGATCTGAAAATTCGTTATCATGAGTTAGAAGAGGTTAGTTTTTTTCCCAAGCAGTCTTCTATTCCTTTACTATCGCGTAGTCTTCCTATCATCGATGTTCTGCTTGTGTTGTGCGCTGAGGCGTGCTGCTCTTTGTTACGTGCAATCTGTCAGTCTGTATTCAGTTAACCTCGTTTTGCTAACCCATTGCATTTGTGACGTGTTCACTAATGCACTAATTATGTAGATGCTTCCAGTTCGAACCAACTCATCATTAGCTTCCTTGTTCTCGCACACTTTTTGTCTTGTGAATTCTTCGGTTTGTAGGAGTTCTGTCAGTTCGTTCTCACCTTTGTATCACCAGCACTAACGTCATTCGTATTTTGTAGCCTAACCTGGTCAGGACATGCACGTGACGTCCAAGATGGGCAACAGGATCCCACCTGTTGCAGATGATTTTATGGGGTTCATCACTACGAACTCTGCGACTGCGTAAATCCAACTCGGGTTGTGGGAATTCCAACGAGATTGGTCCAATGAACACTTGCTTCTTTTCGTAATGCACTACTCATAAGGTTGCTAAAAATTCGTCGGCAGTCCACGACCGGTTTCGCCCTTCTTGGGGCTCATCAGGTAGGCTCAGTCCCCGAGTTTCCGTCAACCTAATGTTCTACTTGAAACCAAATTGCACGAAATTAGCGAATATACACCCATTTGCAAACTAATTTGGTTTTTCGAGAGGCTCACCTGGAACCCAGCTGAATCTCTCGGTTTCGATTTTTCCGGGCAGTCCGGTGCAGCACGTTTAGTTGCCTGAAAACATCACAAACGTGAGATTCAGCTGGGTTTCAGATAAGTCTCTCGCAAAACCAGATTTGTTTGCAAATGAATGTATTTCGCTAACTTGCTTATATGTTCAGAACATGGCCCCAAAGGCCACCAGTCGCCTTGATTCAGCTAGTAAACGTGAGGTTTATTTCGCATTGCCTGGCCCTAACACAGAGACCACCTTTGATCAATCAGATTCTCAAAGATGCGGCAATTATTCCGACAATTCGTTTTCTCGCCCTGTTCTTCTTAGCTTCCCCCGCCAGGACACGTCTCATATCACAGTCCGTTTTGAAACCCACCAGTGACTGAAGAAAACCTCGAGTAGGCTTTTTTTTCTCACTTTGGATGCTCTGTATTGAAAAGCCAGCTAATTTATCCGGTCAAACTCTCACATAGGTTGAACACTTGCAACCAGTTAGAATGGTGCGCAGCAATTTCCGGACGGTCTGAGATACTGCCCATGTAACATGTCCTCTGGGATGGGTTCCACATTATTCTCCCTATGTCCCACTGGAGAATCTGTAAAATATCATAGCCCATCGGTTTTATCGGTATTCTCGTTGTCACTTTCTATCCAGCGTGCTTGACTGGGATATGGTCAGGCAATTAGATGGTAAGGTGTCCTTTCGGTGTTTCTCTGAGTGTGCGGCCTTGAAATACCAGTGCCATCGCTTTTTGTCCTTGTCTTGTGTATTGCGGTCGGGCTATGTGCTTCTAAATTTAGCAGCTGATTCAGTGAAATGAACAGAACGTGGAATTTTTTCTCAAAAACAAGTAGCTGAGGAATGCGACATGCTGTGTGACGTGTAGGGATTGCGGAGAGGCGAATTCTTCTGCGGTTGACGAACCTCAGTCGACGATACGGTCCATATTTAACCTGCTGATAATCCGTACAACTATGAGTCCCCGGGGGTGGAGTACCATGATCTGCTGAAGCGACGGTAAATGGATGAATCCTACTGTCGCTGCGGCCCTCTTGCATGAAACGACGGTAAATGGATGAATCCTACTTTCGCTGCGGCCCTCTTGGAAATCAGCAGTAGTGCTCGACTCACGAGACTCCAGTTGGGAGTTTCGATCCCGTGACCTTCCGGCCATCGATTCAACGTTTGGCCGTATGGCCACTAGCGGAAATTTCATTTGTCTTGTCAAATTACTTTTCCTCTGGCCTACTTATTGCTTGATAGTTAGTAGGCCATTCTCTCCAAATGCTTTACATTTCATGACACATCGCAACATGTCCAGTTATTTCCTCCTTTTCGGGCAGTCACCTCAATCTCTCGTGGGGGCGAGATGGACCAAGTGGTTAGAGCGCTAATTTACTGACCGGAAGGTCCGTGGTTCGAACTCGACCTCTGCCTCTCGACTTCCCCTGTCTAGGCTTGGGCAACCTGGCAGTATCTCAGCCCTCGTGCTTCCTTCGGGTGGCATGGCAACTAAGCACCAGAAGGGTGTTGCAACTGAACGAATCACTGCTTTGTGTTGTCCAACTATTCCGGTCCTGTGAATGCGAGAGAGAGTTTGTTACTTTCAGTGTGACCAGGGGGACACATTCAAAAAAACGCTCGAATGAGCAACATGTATGATGTGTAGTGGCCTCAGACGAATGCATGTTCAACATGTTTGTCTTATCCCTGACTGCATTTCCCGTCTGAAAATAGCAACGAAGCTTTATCATTTGCGATGCTAAAAAGAACTATTAGAGAGCTATTGAAAACACGAGGCCTGTACATTGAATATCCCAGTTGGTGAACGCCGATTCGGCGTGTCGTTTTTACCAAACAGACAGTAGCTATCTCGGTGGTTAATGTGTGAAATCGCTTCGTTTAAACCCAACCCTCGTTTTCCGACTGCTTTTGCCTAAGCTCGTGCAGTTTGGTCAGATCTCAGGCCAGTTGCTTCTTTCGAGTCGCGCATAGCAGTCATTCACCTGAAGGCGACGAAGAATTAGCAACACCGTACGGCCAGTACGGCCCTGATGCACGTATCCAAAATTTGGAGTGGTTATTTGTGCCATCGGCGCTCATCGGTAAACAAGACGGGGAAGACAGCGGAGTGTTTCACACCTACCCCATTGACTCGTTGCATCGGATGCCAAAATCGATTTGATGGCTGTTCCGAGAGTGGTATGGCGAAGCTTCGGTAAAAATGTCAGCCGCAGTTCTCCAAATTGTTTCGCGAAGATTTCACAGCGAATTATTCCGAGAGTATCGTCTAAATCTTTTCCTAAGGTCTGCTTAAGACTTCGCATTTCCTCGTGTTTTTTCACCACTTGACCAAAGCGCTATGCTGCATTTATCGTAGGATTTGACACCTACTCACCCACTTCCGTCCGCCAAAAGTGGAGCTACTGTGGATAAATCAAGTAGTCTTGCATTTTTCTCACGTGGCTCATAAGTGGCTTGATTCTAAGCATAACCAGCAAAGCGCCCGTGGGGATCGACGAACGTTCAGATAAACAAACCGAGTATTCTCTGTCGGTCCGATGTTTTTTCTGACTCAGTCAAAAGTTATTTAAAACTGTCTACAGACCATGTCCGGATTCCACTTACTGTCTCTTCTCCACCGCGAACTTACTTCTCCGGCACTAATCCATGGATGTGCGGAAATGACACGACCGTGTCGTTCAATCCCATGGACCCGACTCATCGTAAACATTTGCAGACACTAGCAAAATGCACTCATTTGCATACCAATTTGGTTTTAACGAGAATCTGAACTGAATCTAGCTGAATCTCTCGTTTACTATGGTCCGCTTCGACTGAATGTGCTACATCAGGTCGCCTCCTGTCTCGGTTGGTTTCTAGACGCAACACACTACTCACGAAGTTGCTGAAAACTGTCCGACAGCCCATGCTAAACAAAGTACTGCGATATCTCGAACAGCGTCCCAGATGAAGTGTCAGGGCGCTCTTTGTGCAGTACATCAGTTTAAGAACAAGTGATTTAGTGGGGATTCAGGTGAGTCTCTCGTAAAAACCACATCGGTGTGCAAATGGGTGTGGTTATCGAATTTTGCGACGGAAACTCGTGGACTGCTTCTACGTGGTAAGTGCGAACCTACATGGGCTGTCCAAAAGTTTTCAGTTTCCACGAAAGTTCGCCAAAAGTTGCTTCTTTGATTCGATCATCGTGTGTAATTTGTCAGATGTAGGACAGTTTGATTGTTAGAGCGATTCTGTCATCAAGCTGTTGGAGTTTTGTCTTCATGTCAGGTAGTAACACAAGGGTCAGTCATGTGCCATGCTGTTAGCTTCCGTACACATCGTTGTGTTGTCCCACAAATTTGATCTACACACACACACAAATACATTCCTCAACTAGTCCCAGTTCATTCGGAGCAGCCACTCATGCCTGAGCAAGCGTTTCAATCGACGGCTGTTCAGCGCACATGTTCGCCGTTGACGTCGGATATCAAATGCAGCCGGTGGTCGATCTTGTTTAGATCATGTAAACCACATGCTGTGTAGAGGTACGCAAAACAATGCTGGCTGAGATACACAAAACTGTTTTTTGGTTTGACCTAACACGCTACTGAGAGCAACCTTATGAGTAATGTGTTACGTCTATGCAGTTCTGGTAAGTCGTACCAACGGAAACATGAGGCGGCAGCACATTCATTTGGAAAACAAAAGATTCCGTTGGGTCTCCCGTGAAAAACAAATGGGTATCTAAATGAATGCATTTCAACAATTGTTGGTTTGTCCTCCCCATTAACGTCCTTGCAGTGTACAACTTTCAAGAACACCAAGTACGCAGTTTCGCGTCAGACAAATGGAAGTGTTGTATTTTCGGTCTCTCATGTGTAGAGGGGGAGCACAAAGTTCGCTTAAAAAAAGAACGGATCTGTGTTTCCATTTAAAAGCTTGTTTCTCCAAGGTCCTGGGACTTCAAAGTGAAAGCCAACCGACACTGGGACAGTTTTGAACTGCTCGTCTGCCCATCCGAAGTCGGTACTCGCCAGTATTGCGTCATCAATGTTTAGGCGTGTAAGGACCCTGTGCACAGTAGACGCTGATCGGACAGCGGCCCAAATTGAGGTGAAGAACAAACTTCGGGGTAGCGGATATCCAGCTAGCTTGATTAAGCGTCAATTGCGAAGGGTGTTGGTACCGGTAGCGAAACCCAACAGGGAATGGATCGGGACCGCTGTTATCCCATATAAACCAGGGACACCGGAGGTCATTCGAAGAATTCTAAACGCGGCTAATATAAGAGTAGCTTTCCAAAAGGGGAACACTGCGCTCTACACTGGTGCAGTTGAAGGGTCGCCTCCCAGCAAACAGAACCAGGGATTGTGTCTACAAAATTAAATGTAATGACTGCACCAAGGTCTATATAGGACAGACGGCCAGGGAATTACACATCAGAGTCGGAGATCATAGTAGGAAAATAAACAGGCCGCCGAGAAACGAAGATGAATATCAGGCGTTACTGAAAAGCTCGGCAATTGCGAAACGCAATGGACACGTGACATAAAATAGACCTAGAAAATGTTGAGGTTTTGAGGCGAGGACTGCAGTCCACGTCACACAGACTGATAGCAGAGGCGGTAGAAATCGCCAAGCATCCCAGTGTTAACAGAATGGAAGGCGCGGAACTGGCTAGCGTGTGGAGAACGGTCTTGGGTCACTCGAGCTGACACGTTTTGGTGTGCAACTATCAGAGGAAAGAGTTATCATCATCTGAAATCCACTTGACCTCACCCCCCCTCAAATCAAATTCTCGGAGCACTCACAACCCCACAAAGACTAGGAAAAATCTAACAGCGGCACCCGAAGCGAATCATCAAGTGAAGCACCCTGAAGCGGAAGATTAAGGAAAGAAAAGCGATCGGGAACTAATTTCGAACCCCTCCAACCCATCAATTCAAGATTTTGGCACCCACGCTAGCCTAGAAGAGCCGTTAATTGACACTCAACACTGATCTAGTTTGTAGAGGACTTACTGATTGATTCCTCGTCCGTCTTATAACTTGGCCAATTTGGTGACCTGTTCACTTGTCCTGATGAAGCTTTTGTGTCAAAAGCGAAACGTTGCCCAAATAAAAACCACCGATTGCTTGCCAAGCACTTCTGAAACAGCTAAACTTAGCCTCTTTTCTCAAAAAAAGGAACTGAATGACAACCAAGTAAGCATTGACACCTCCCCATATTTATACTGTATAGTGATTGTATTTTGAAGTCGTGGTGCCTACACTGGCGACCTGGTTTTTCTGATTCCGTGGTCTGCTTCACCTACTGACTTCAAACTGTTCACTTAATACGATGTTACAGTTACGTACGGACTCGCAATCTATTTATCAATTGGGTTTTGTGCGCTAGGAAAACTGAGTCTTACCTATGATTCTCCTATTGTCTGCATCTAGTTGAAAACCGATCAAGCCACTCGATCTTCCGAACAAATGGCCGTTTTGAAAGACGAACTGTTCACTGTCAAATTGCGCGAGACCGAATCCCTCACGAGATTGGATGAGATGAGGCAACGGTTGGCTGAGATCGAAGCTCTATGGCAGGTAGGCGACTTTCTTCTCTGGTGTTTTTCCATTGTTTGCCTAGCCTTGTATGATTACTGTTGGGCGTAACCAATTCGGCCTTTGTAGAAAGTCTCCTTCTTACAGACGTCTTGAGGAGTCCGCCAACTGTATGTCTCTGAAGGCATAACGGCACATTCTGTTTATCCCTATGTTCTAAGTTCCTCGGGCTTTTACGCACTACAGAGAACGCAAGGGATTGTGGAGAGAGGAAGCGAATTTACTGACCGGAAGTTCCGTCATTCAAACCCGATCTCTTCCTCTCGACTTCCCCTGTCTAGGCTTGGGCAACCTGAAAGTATCCCAGCCCTCGAGCTTCCTTCGGTAGTTTGGCGCCAAAAGGGTCCTACAGTGGAACGATTTTTTTCAAGCGGTTGCACACCTGCGCAAACTCCGAGTGGTTGTCCGTTGGCATAGTTCGGTAGGAAAATTCTGGGATGGATGTCAGCCCGCATTTTGAGATTCTACTGAAGCGTTGATGAGACCTGGCCTTTCAAACCACTCCTTCCCTACATAGTTACTGTTTGCACATCCACGTGTGTATATCATGTCAAATCGACATCCCTTTCTTTGCCTACTGTGCTTGTACAGTAGTATGTGTTTATTTCGTTTTTTCGTGACGGATCACCTCATCTGATGCTTCCCTTCACAGGCACATTCTTCGCGATGCAAGGCATCCACGAGCGATGGGAAACGCACTTCTCTTTTGTTGGGATCGTTTGGTCAGTCTGGCAGTAGTGATGCTCGAAAGCTTTCGGACAGCATTCTTGAGGCCCGTTATCTGGATCAAATAGCTACACTGCAGCAACAGGTAAGTGACTCAGCCTCGTTGCTATCGCCGTATTCTTACCACGGATTTTCTTTAAATTTGCCGTTTAGCTCAGATCATCTCTCAAAACCTGAGCTAATTCTCTCCGGGTAGTCTGCTCTGTGATGTACGAAGTTTTTTTCTAATTCCCTTTCTGGAAATACTTTTGCAGTTTAAACAGATTTAGGTTTTGTTTCCAGTATCAGGCGTTTTCAACGACTTACCCGAAAAAGGATGAATTTATGCTCTCAGTTTTATTTTGGGTCACACACTGCATTGATCAGACGCCGTTCTTAAAAGTGCATACTGTCCGCTACGGTACAGGTTACTGGACCCGTATCGATTGACTGTATTCCCCGACTTCCAATGACAGGCCCAGGTAACTGTTCTCATCTCATTTGACCTCACTCCATAATCAGGTGCTCAGTTTCATCGCACGAGGGGGTAAATCGGTCGCTTGTTTTCTTGGCAGTCTTCGTTTCCTGGAGCCGTCATTCTGACTACTGGTTCGTTCACAACAACTCACCGTCTTCTAGGCTTAGCCGCCCGTTGAAACAGAGCATTAGTAGAACATAAGGTTGACGGAAGCCCGGGGACTGCGCCTACCTGATGAGCCCCAAAAAGGGCGAAACCGGTCGTGGGCTGTCGATGGATTTTCAGCAACCTTATGAGTGGTGCATTACAGATGTATACAGAACATATCCACTTCTGAAGTGTACTCACGTTGTAGCTAGGGTCGGTTGTTTGTCTTTACTATCGACTACCCGGTATGTGCTGGCTATTCAAAATGAATTTCCAAGCCAGATTTATCCGCTGTTTGTTGTAGTTTGCACCATTGAACCCATTCGGCCATTGGGTCACGCACCCCTTTGAGGATTGGACGAGTTTCTTCCCACACTGTTCCGTATGAGGTCTTCCGAAATCTTGCGGGAGCAGTGTAAGTATCACACTGGTCACCTAAGTAAACTTCCTAGTTATAATAGAGAAACCGTCATTGGGGAAACAAGGTTGCTGAAAACTCTTCGCCACCCCACGTCTGGTTTCGCCCTTCTTGAGGCTCATCAGGTAGGGGCAGTCCGCGTCATCGTTTTCGTTCCGTTCGAGTACGGCTCCCGACATAATTTCAAAAGTTGTCAACCCTTCAGTTAATGATCTGAAGGTTCCCGGTTTGTATTTTATGAGTAGTCTTAGTTTATTGACGGCGTCACCTTATCTACCGGTAAAACTCATATCGACACGCGAGTTAAGGTCGGCACTTAATGTGGAGTCAGGTCACTAGTGTCCTGAAAATTACGGAGTATGTGTGTATCATCAAACGCAAAACATCACACCGGATGGATGCGGAGTATTTGGTGCGAATATACTGCATTTTGGAGCGGGAACGGAGTAGCACACTTGTCGTAGCCCTTCCAGATGTTGGATCACAAGTTTGTAGTCGGAAATTTACGCAGCTTTCCCCGGTTCTTGCGATTCAGCTGGTGAGCGGTAATGTTCGAACCGATGTCACGTCTTATGACCTCGGGGTTGGTGTGTACAGTGTCCGCTTCATTCGTAAAGGGACATGACACGAGGTCCTAACTGAAAGCACGATCCACATCCAATAGACTGAACAGTATCCTTACGTTGATCCGTCGGAAAAAACACATCAGATGGTTTCCCACCTAGCCCTTCTCCCGTGTACTCTGCTCTCCTTTTCACTGTTTTATACAGACTAACGTTTATAATGTGTGTATGGTGCTTTGCTTATTTCAACCTGTGTACATCCTAATCGCCACCAAAATGACCGCATTTCTTCAAAAGTACGATAGCGCGATAACCGCGCACGAAAATCATTCGTGCAATCTCGAGGTCGGACTAAATATCCGAAGATACACGGCCTACGCCTGAAATTTCGCAGGCAGCTACCTAAACTTACAGGGGCCTATTGGCCGCATGCCACTCTCAGTTGCAGAACCTTTGCGAGTGGACTAAAACTTTTTGCACCAATATGTTGCGTTTTGTTGCGTCTGTACTCACCAAAAATCAGCCTAATCTAAGTTCATACTTTTTCAGGTCACCTACTTTCATTGTCCATTGAAGCAATCATAACCTTGGTCGAATACTTTCCTAGCGTTTCTGCGACCCCCGATGCCCAGATGGGGATCAAAAGTTCGGATACGTACTTCGAAAACAATTGCCAATCTCTTTTGGTCCATCAGGGACAAAATTCGAAAATCGCATCCCATTGTGCGAATACTTACACCAAATTGAACACATTTTTCAAAAATGCTCACAAATATCTCTCGAAGCAACATTCAAATTGCATCCATCTCAAAACGCAACCTCATGAGACGAATTCCATAAGAGTTACATCTGAAGAGCGCGGACCATTCAGTCAGATGTGTTCGGCTAACGTTCATCAACCCCAAGAATGACAACCTCCTTAGGTAGATTCGTTGGCTGGCTTGGATTGCATAACACAGACCGAGACAGTACCCAGTCAAACTTGGTGGACCTCGACCGCGGAATGAAGTTTGGTTTTTTTCCACTTGAGAGTGTGCCGTCTTCAGCTATTGGCGCAAAAAAAAGGAGAAAATCGTCCCGCCAGGGAATTTTTGGTCCCCTTTTGGTTTCGGTCAACTCACTGTAAGACCAAGAAACCAGTGCAGATTGGAAACTTAGTTTGAAACATTTTGGTCTTCTTTAATTCACCTTGAATTCCCTTCGGAAGCGTGTGAGGCAGCCTTAGGGGAAGTTGGTGACAAATTTGAAGCAGAGATGAGAATCACTGGAATAATGGACAACGGGAACGCGTGGGGCTCTGACGTCACAGTCATGGGAACATCGTCATCAGCGTTGACATACAGATGTTCAAATTCCGCACCACAATGAGTGATAAGAGCCTTACTAAAGAGTTGAAATAGAAGGAAAGGATAAATTCTATCAAAGTTGGCCGCAATTAATTGTAGTCAGATGCAATTTCCACAGAGTAGGTCCAAAGGACTATGGATATAGGATTTTGTCCTTAATATTGAAGCAAACTAAGCAGAACAGCCGTAAAATTTCGAATGAGCGAGCGCGAGCAATAGTTTTATTCAAAAATTTACTTCGACCATAAATATTCACATAATCGTTTTATTGTGAACGGCGTTGGGCAACAGTTCCTCACTCCCTCCGTGTCAGGTGAGGCTGTCTACCACGCTTATCTTGGCTTGTCACACCCTGTGCGGTGTTCGTGAAAAGTCAAGTTTAACCACGTTACTACTCGTGATTGGTGGCCGACTTTTCAGGATGATTTGTCACGAATAATCACCGCCCGAACGTTCCTGATCACAGTAGGAGAGCAATTTTGACGGCGTGTCTTGAAGGTGTCTGGGTAACCGTTAATGTCTTCCGCCCTACCGTTTCATAACAACTTCCCCTGACCCATGATGGTTGAACTCCTTGTTATCGGGACCCATAGGCTCTCTATTTTCAGTATTTCCCACTTCATCACTCAAATTGGTTCCTTCCTCATATAGTGCTGGTCACCAACACCATCAATGGCAAAAACTCCATTCCCTCATCCTAGTGCCACACTACTGCAATGGTACCTCTTTGTGTTCAGTCTCCGTTCTCCGGCCTGTTTGCAGGCGTAACGTTCCACTCAGTACCACGCCCTTTTTGGGGTGTGGCTTCTCCATTACCGCCAGTCTAAATGCCCAACAGACTCTGTTTTCAACTGTTTTTCAGACCTTCAATTATGCTGCTTTCTATTGGGTTTTTCCGCCCGCCCTTCCCCGTTCCCTTCTGTAGATCGTCGCTTTTCTCCCTTCTTTATCTTCACAGGAGCCTGCCTCTAAGATATCATCTACCCATACTGGTGAGACTTCCAACCCTAACATATCGAGTTAACGTTCAGTCACCTGATTTAATGTGTGGCTGGGAGCGCGGACTCTTTCCAAATGTTGTGAGATCATTCATGAGGAGTTTTCGGGTGCTGAAAAAAAAACAGAACAAAAAGTCCTACATTAGAGAGGTTTATGGTAGACGTCACCTGAAGAGGAAGCTCAGTCTGCATCAAAGTTTGATACAGGTGACTGGGAGGCACAACTGAATGACTGTGGCTGTGCGGAAGGTATTCTGAAGGTGGAAATGGATTTTTCGCACCGCCGCGTACCACTATTGCTATGACAGTTCTCTCAATGTAGCCAACCCTCCGGGACCGAATGGTATACCCATGTGCTGGTTTCCAAGTCATGTGGTTCACATCCTAAGAGGAAACATCCCATCACTGGTTGTGTACCGCTGCACTCTGCTGGGAAACAATGCACTAGTGGTGTTGGAATGTCCGCGACAAAACCACTCGGTGAACGGGCAGCCATGTGAGCTACCCACGTTCTCCTCTGTAGCATTTGAGTTGTCATCAAACTCGGATGTTGGGGATAGTTCATATTACTCACCCTCTCCCCTGCCCACCTAAGAAACGACTTAGTATCTACCCAAACGTCTCCTTGTGGGAGGAGTACTGTACCCGTTTATTACTGGTATTTAATTCGCATGTCACTACTTGTTTTACACAGGTCACTAATCTCCCTCCCCGTTCAGGTTAATGAACTCGCGGTGCAGCGCGAACTGGCCGATCGACGTGCAGATCGTTTGGACCAACGAATCACAGAGCTTCTCGAAGCACGTAGTGCCGCGGGCGCCCGGGAACATGAACTGCGGTCCGAGTTGAAGGAAGCTGTTCGAATGTGTGCAGAAATTGAGGCCAAGGTTAGCTAATTCCTGGCTTGTCCGCTATGGTTGTAGGTCTCTCAACCTCACTTTACTTTCGTTGCGTGGCGCCAGCGTTCCTACGCCATCCTTACACCATACCACTACCACCTGTTTAATCTGCTGGACGTCGGCGCCGATCCTGGTTCGCACTACTCCCTGTGCTAGAGTGACGTTCCCAATAGCTTTAGCATGGCACGCTATTGTGGAAGCACGTGCTTCACCTTGATACGGTTTGAAGCTTGAAGGTGTGGATCTTCATCTGTCAGCCTGTTGTTTTCGCTTGTTACGGCGTGTTAGCAGTCATGACGGTCAAATTGATGCGCTCCAGTCTCATTTTTGTTCATTTGGTCCCTTGAGTGGGAATGGATACAAACAGTTGACTGTATTCACCCGTATGAAGCGGTACTGTGTGAGTGCAGATGATAGATAAGTTGGTCCTGTCAATGTTCCGCCATTGGTGTCCCTGATATGTGAATGTATGCTTCATCCCTCGGCTGAGCACCGGTGGGTCACAAAGGCTATAGTTAAGTTTAACTTGCCTGAGACTGCTTCCTACCTTCTTCTATCGAAGCGACTGAGGTATGGAATAAACGTAGGCGGTCTTCTGCAGTTCGTAGCCAACGCCAACGGTATTTCACTTTTTGCGGTATTCCAATAAATACAACACCCTTTCCCACCCTTTTTCAGCGGAAATCGGACGGCCTGATGTGGCGCAGTCGTGAGATGGAACTAACCGCCCAGTTGACTGAGTGGCGCCAATGTCAGTTGCAACTGGAATGTAAATATGAAAGTCTTCTGGCCACGCGGCACTTGCAAGCCGTTCCCCCGTCGCCAATCTCTTGTCGTGGGGACTCAAAGTGTAACGGATTTGGCTCAACGGATACTATCGACTCTGTTAAGTTGGGACAAAATTTGGATAACCTCCCCTCACTCAACCTAGATCAACTCAATGGGTCCAGTGACTCGCTGGACGTTCAAGACGACATGCCTACCCCTGGTGATATACGGCATCGTACCCTTACGGCATCCAGTAACCCTCCTCAGTCACATCCAAAGTCTGAATTAAGGTCACTATGGAAAGACCTTCCACCTACGGTGATGACAGACTCCATCGGTCCACTGGAAGACCTCTGCTTGGTTCCCGATGATCCAATGATAACCAGTGTGTATCTTGGTAATGGTACTTCATATGAGGACTGATGTCATTTCCCAAGATAACCCGTGCCAAAGAACAGCTTCCCTGAACACATCGGAATGGACAGTTCTCAACCCTGGGTGGACACCCATCCAATGAACTCTGTCAAGTTCCAGTGTGTTTGCCTCATACGCTGCGAAAGCAAGTCACTTCACTGTATACAGTCGTCCCCGGTTATCGAACTCCGCTCGACTGCACCCTTATGTATCCGTAGTCTCCAAACGCGTCTTTCAATAATTTTCCCCTCACGAGCTAACCAGTTTATCTCTACTGATCTCATGATCTTGTTCCACTCAATGATTTTCAAATTCGGCTGCTCACGTTTTTCTTCCACCATCTTCATTCTCTTCCGTCACCTACACTCACCTAGACAACTGCGTCTCTCCCGTTTCATCCGTCCGTACTCTGTCTTGGAATCTGCCGCTCACCTCTCCTTTGAGTCTGAGATAGTCATCTGTACAGTCGATTTGCAAACTATTCCTCCTCTTTTCAGTGCATTTTTACTGAGTTCCCAAGGAATTTGGCAAGATTTTCACCTATAAATGATGCACTGTCTTCAGATTCCATGAGTAAACATTATCTTCAGCTCAAAATCTCTGCATCTGCTGACTTACGACTAAGGGTAATCCCAATGCTAATTGGTGCAGGGTCCCCAACAATATAAATAAAATACTGTCAATCCAACTGCAACGCCCTCTCAGTGCATAGCTACCCTACCACCCGAAGGAGGAACAAGGGATGAGACGCTACCAGGTTGCCAAAGCTCAGACAGGAGCAGTTGAGATGCATGGTCAGGAACCTTAAAATCAATAACTTCTCCCCCTAACCAACGAGCACTAGACCGGAAACTGTCCTGATCCTGAGCTGTCGTGTGACTTCGTGCGAGCTTTTGGCAGTTACCTAGCTAAGGACAAACGTGTTTTGCATCGGGCAAGCCAGATGGCAGTTAGCGTCGAGGCCATGTGTCCTCCTTTTCTTTCTTCACTCAAGATGTGATGTACAGTGCGGATGACTCACTCGTAGCCACGTGATACGTTCGCTACTTGTTCCGGATGCAAGCGGACCTCCGATTGGTCATTCAAATTCAGGAGCGGGAAAATTCAAAACGTTTCATACGTCCAAACATGATCTCCAGATGTTACCGCAGCGTGGCGCTTCATATCGGGGTTGCCCGGTTTGCATTAACTGGCGTTCAGGCACTCACTATCTGAGTTAAGCGGGAAACTTTTGAACCGGAGCGAACCATCACGTACTCAAAAATCCAGTGAATGTCCGTCTCACGGAAGCGGCCACCGAATGAAAAAGCTCAAACTATGTTGTGTTGATGGTCCAAGAGATGTCGATGTCAGCGAACCATGTCGGTTAGTAGCCCTGGCTACTAACTGGAATCAATATCTCATTCGTCCAGGCCGTATTTACTTCCAGTCCGTGGTTCCCCTCTCTCGAAGACGGCCGACCACATACGCGATACAAGCTTTGGGTACACGTCCTAGTGTGAATCTGTCACTCAATAGCTCATCAATAGCTGTAAATTCGCGTGCATTTCGTACAGTTGTTATAGCTGCTGCAGTATCGTTTGCCGATAATTTTGGAAGGAAGTGTAGTCAGTTATGCCTTAGAGGCGGTAACTGATATAATTTGTTTTTCTGTATAGGGTCATCAGTAGAGTTTTCGTGGGGGGTGAGAGGAGAGCTATGCATTGAAGGAACAGGTTGACCCATAAAGTGCGCGACTGGGTCATGTCGGACAATATCTTTAGCCATTGGTGCGTCCCGTCTCAGGGTCCCTACCAAGGGAGACGGCAATGACCGGTGGAGCCGAATTGGCTGAAAATGGCTTCCTTACTTCGCCGCCAACTCATTGTCTGATTTTACCTAACTCGTTCCCACCCCTCACGTGCTAAAGTAGTCGTTCGATGGAATCGGCTGACTGGCATGCGCAGAGTGCGACTAAGCCAGCGCGACCATTCGTTGTACTACGGCGTTACTGATCCGAGGTTCCTACAAGACTCGGGCAATGCATCGCAAACATCTACCGTTAAACACCGAAAAACTTTTGGCCTTCTTGGCGCACAGCTACCAGGGCTCTGCTTCGCATAATAACCTAGAGTGCAGCCTAGTAAACTCCACCCTTGACGGACAAGTCGATGTCGTGCCTACGCCAAGGTGATGCAGGTTCGCGAAAGCTCCTCTGGCCTTCCCAACCCAGATGGCTAGACCACCGTGACTGATACCGCTTCCCAGGAAGACAAATTTGTCTACTACTTCAAACACCTCATTAACAAGTATGGGATTAGGTTTCCAGCGGCGGTAATTGACCCTAAGCAGTTGTGAAACGTGAGGCGGAATTACTCAAAATATTTAATAGTATTTGCAGTGGGACAGCATACGAGATGTCTGTAGGCGACTGCTCTGAAATCATTTCAGCCTCACGGGTACTATGATTCGGTGGTAGGTTTTGCATAATCGTATCAGGGACAAAAAATCATGCTCCCTAACACTGATGGTTTGGCCAGTGATCATCTGGCCGAAGGTGGTTTAAAAACTTAAAAACATACGGAAGTCCTCTACGTGATTCTCTATAAAAGTGGTGGTACAACAACCCATTTTTTCCAGGTGAAGAGATTTGAACAAGCGCCATAACTAACCTATCTACCTTAGACAAAGTGGAAAATGAGAACTGCAGGCTATGAAATACATAGACGTGAAATGAAAGCTTACAATGTATTGCGGTGTACTTTCCGCCATAGCGAGCGCTAAGGCCGTCTGCTCCACTCTTGTCCACGGTGGTATCCTTTGGTTTCAGTCGTCAAATCAAGCTTGCATAACCGAGAATTACAGTGCATGAATGCAGGTATTTTGTCGTTTGCTAAGACCATTAATTTATCTGGCAGGTGATCCAAAGGTACTTTGCAATTTTTCAGTACTATCTTGGCCCGTGGTACGTCCGAAATACGTCTCTTTTTTCCATTGCACAACATCGTGAAAGAATTCTTTCTCTATTCAGCTTATTTACAGAGTTTGAACACGTCATTTTTTAAATTCTTCACTGTAGCAAAACCTTTGCACTTAAACCCCTGTCAGTTTGCACTCAGTTCCTGCAGTGCACTCAATCTCAAACATGACCTAAATCAATACAGGCTGCTTTCTACTGCCATATATGGACCACAGTAGTTGTGGGCGAAATGCGTCTTCGTCACATGTAGGGCGTGATATGTACTGCGAAACCTGTAAGGTCTGGTGGCATTATAAATGCACAATTTTACATGACGACCCGTTTGTCTGTGCCAGTTTTCTCAGCCTTAAAGGTGAAATGCATTCCGCAACTAAAAAGAAAGCCACCAAAAACGAAGCCAAGTCCCAATCGCCAAATGGGAAAGACTAGTGTGAATGTTACGCTTTAATCGGGATACTCGATGCAAAATTGGCGCTTCTTTCTAAAGCTCTGGGGGACACAAACACAAAGAACACAGCGCCCTGGACAGAGGTTGATGATGAACTTTTCCCTGAACAAGTACCTTGCGTTATTTATTCCTGGTCCGGTTGCTGCGAAAAACGTCATCCATCTCTCCGACGCTCCAATGAACACCGCGCGTCTCTAATGAACAGGCGCATGAGGAAGGGCAGGCTGACCACTTGGGGGTCATTCTCCAAGAGAATCGCGCCAACGAATCGGGCACGGTCGCTCCTTGAAAGTGTCCTCATAAAGCCTGAGCATGAGTTGCTTCACGCAGATCGGCCGCACCATGATGGAAGCAAGCGAACATTTGAGCTTCTAGTCAATCTTCCCTTCCCATCTGCAGAACAGAAGATCCTGGAGCGGACTGTCGGCATTCAAAAGGCCTACGCAATAATCAGCAGTATATCTGAGAATCACCCTCCAGAGGCGCAAAAGCTGGGCCACGGCAGCTCTAGGGGAGAGACACGCAACAGGCTCGTGGTTGGCTCCACTTCAGCCGATCCCAAACTTAAGGCCATACCGATGACAGTTATGGCACCTTTTGATCTTGAAAAGCGCTGACGCAACTGACTGCAACTTCGGAGCGCAGTTTTTACTCAACCACCACTGACCCCTCAACTACCAAAGGCAGCGATGTTTTGGAGGAGGCAAGCCTCACGTGGATACAGCGCCCAAAGTACGTGGAGCTATTATCGCCTATCTCCATAACAGACGACCTATGCCCAGCAGTGAACTCCATACCCAAGTCGCAACTTCTGAGCTTAACTGGGTCGGACGTGAGGAGACAAGCGGCGAAGCCTACCGAAAAATCAACCTGGGAGAACCCTAAAACCACTGAGAATGTACGACCTCCAATCTCCAGCTCCACTCCGTCACTAAGACACCGACAGCCAAAGCCCCAAACATGGCAACATCGGACCGAAAAACCTTCGTACACCCAGTTGGGCACGCTGATCGCAGGCGATTTGGGAGTCCACACAAACAAAAAAGGAAAGCGACTGCAAACCAACGAACCACATCAGATTCGCCAAATAAAAACTGCTGGCTAGCTTCCCTGTGCAGTCCTCCATGAAACTGAGCCTCATAGGAGCGCCATCAAGAGTAATACTTCTTGATGCTATCACCCAACGCTCAGAATCTCACAGAGACACCTTTCCGATTAGGCCGTGCAAAATTGGTGAAGAAACCAAACAAACGCATGGTTGCCCCAAATCCTTGGACAAAAGTGAGTTCAGCCGTCTAAAAGTGGTATTGAACGGGCTACGAGTAGCCCGTTGCCTTATGCTTAGTTGCGGCCTTGCCCATCCCTATTGTCCTTTCCCTGATATAACGCCAGCATCTTTTTTCCGATGAACTGTATATTTTGAATCTCACTGCGCGAGTCCGATGCTCAATTTGGTTCACCTTTGCCCTCAGATTCCCTCTAAGATGCTCAGTTCCTAATGCAAACCCTTAAGCAACTCTCCCCCAGCTACCTCCCTACATGTCTTCTCTTGGTGGTCGAGTGCAACGCTCCAAAAATCATGCTGGATGGAATTCTAGCGCATCGGATCAAGTGGACCTTCAGCAGCTACAGTGACCAGAGTCATTTAAAAGAGCACTTAGACTCCTGGTGTCGTTTCACCCACCAGATACCGCGGAGGCAAATTGCCATCCCTCTTGGATTTGGCCATGACCAACGAAAGTCACTTCGTCGATCAGGGGGCCCACGGGAGGACCACGACCACACAACGGGCAAGCTTCATCACCACAACAGTCGGCGTGATATGACACGCGATCCGTTGCACACCAGCGGCGTGCCGGGACACCATTTGAATTGCATGCTCCAACGTGTCGGAGTGGTGCACCCAGTCTTTAAGGCGGCTGTTCGAATTCTCCGATCGGTTGTTAGTCACATTACCGAAGTGAACCATTCCGGACTGTGCGTGTATGGCCCATTTTCGGATGATGTACAACCAGCGAGCCGTAAGATAGGAAAGGAATCAAGGATCAATGCGGCGCGGAAGATGCGGGTCTTTCCGGAATCTGTGTACTTGCAATATCCTAATGTACAGTGTTGTCCAGGCGAGCCATGCGGTGAAATATGTGCCGGCTGTTCGCGGAATGTGTCTATGACCAAAAATACAGGGATATAAAATGA